CCCCAAAACCCCAAAACCCCAAAACCCCAGTTTTATAAGGTGTCATTGAAGTTGGTTATTCATTCTTAATGGGGGTGAGTGACTTTTGAGTGTTATGAAGCGAGACTTTGAACTGTAATGTGCTGGCTGTTGCTATGATCTCTTTTGTATAACTTAGGCCCATTTGGCTGGGATGAAGGTAGAGATTTATTTTTTCTGTTTATTCTCAAAAGATGGCAGATATACACGATTGAGAATAGTAAGATAGCTATTGAGACTGTAGTGCACACATTACGAAATCCTATTATTTTTGATAGATGACTGCCATATATAGCTCCAAAAGTTTGCCCAAATTTACCTCAGAAGTTGAACATGCCTGATGATAAGTCGTTTACATAGGACTTATGAGCTGGGAATCTTACTTCAGCGCTCTCTATCATTAATACAAAAGATGGAATCATTAGAAATATAAGAATTACACCAACAAGGAGTTGAGCTATAATCATCAAAGTGAGGCTATGAGGAAGTGGAACGCTTGGGCCAACCAATAAGTGGCTTACTCCTCCTAATAATAAAGTTCAAGCCACCATCTTTATGTTTGAGAACAGTTTTGAGCATAAAGGAAGGATAAAAAGAGTGCAGAATAGGTAGCCCAAAGGCTGTAGAGAAGTAAATAATGAAATTTCTAAATCAGAAAGGCCAAAATCTGATAACTCGAGAGGAATAATGGGATAGTAATAAGCAAACTGGAATGTTGAAATCGTTACAGATATTATGGATAAGGCAAATAAAGCATTCTTTAGTAAGTCTCAATATCCTACAGGTCTAATTACATCTCTGCTGACTCTTGTACTTTCTTGATCGCTTCTTTGAACAGTTTGTTCGAGTAAGGGATTCTCAGTGTCATTCACTGTTCGAGGAAGCTTGAAATAAAGAATGAGGAATATCATTATTAAAAATCCTCCAAGTACATAGAAGGTTGAGCTAAATCCAATACTCATATACAATAACCCTCCTACTACAGGACCAAGGACAAGTCCAAGCCCTTGCGATCCTTCCAAATATGCAAAATATTTTTGCTTTCGTTCTTCAAATATTTTTGATATAATCGCAAAAGATGTGGTTTGGACCATACTAGTAGCTAATCCTTGGCATGCTCTTGACAGAAATCAGAGGATAAGAATGACAGTTGTATCTGTAGTGTAGCTTATAACACTCAATAAAGCCAGTCATAAACCAAGTGTACAGACTCCAATGAGAAGAATAGCTTTCCTTCCTACCAATACCATAAGTTTGCCAACTCCTAGAGATCCGATCATTCAAAGAGTTGGATCTATCGCAAAAATGTATCCAAACACAGTCTCGCTGAATTCGTATTTATTGAGCTCAAGAGGTAGCAAAGGAATGATTAGTGTAATACACAGACTTGATGTGAAACATGTTGTTAGAATTAAAAGAAAATCGAGTTCAGCCATCTTTTGTATTTATTTTATTTCTAGATAGTTATTAACAGGCGGGGTTTTGGGGTTTTGGGGTTTTGGGGTTTTGGGG